GTGCAGCGATGATAGAACCGGACGAGCGCGCAGAACTCGCCTCAGCATGCAAGAGTCCAACACCACACACCATCTCTCCTGCCCTGAAAGACTGTTATGACAGATGGAACCTGAAGTCATGGACTAAATGATCTCAACAGACATTTCAGAGGGATAGCCCATGGACTAAGGGAATGATATCTCTGTGTGTGTATATATATATCAAAAGGCAGGAAAAGTGGTGATGACTAATTGGAATGTATTGGAAAATGTGAGACCTGGGCATGATGTAGATGGTATAGAATAAGGGGTGGATATTGTCCTGGTTCCGGCTGGGACAGAGTTAACTTTCTCCCCAGTAGCTTGGGGGGTGTGCTGTGTTTTGGGTTTGGTATGAAAGGAGCGTTGATGGCCCATTGATGCTTTGGCTGTTGCTGGTTGATGCTCACACGGGGCAGGGGGAGCACAGCCGGGGTGGTGGACCCAGCTGGCCAATGAGGTATTCTATATCGTGTGACATCATGCTCAGTATAAAAACCAGGTGTGTGGGGAGGCTTGCCCCCCCATTCGTGACACGCGGTCGGTGGTTGGTGAGCAGTTGCATTGTGCATCACCTGCTTTGTATATTCTGTTGTTGTTGTTGTTGTTCTCACTGTTACTATTACTGTTCTATTTTGTTTTATTTCAATTACTAAACAACTCTCAACCCGGGAGTTTTCCTCCTTGTGCCCTCCCAATTCTCTCCCCCATCCCACCGAGGGGGAGTGAGTGAGCGGCTGCGTGGGGTTAAACCACGACACTTATGTATGCTCCTTTCTGCTGAACACTTCCATAATCCCAGTAATTTTGCCAAATGATGAGCAAAGCCAATAATGCAGAGATTTGTGCAAACAAAAAAGTGACCAATCTTGAATCAGCAGTGAAGAAGTTACCCATGATGGCTTGGTCATACTCCAGAAATTAGTTACTTCTTGTGGTAACCTTTCTATGAACTAATCTATGCAAGATAGCTTAGTTGTACAGGATCTCATTCAGAAAATGTAAACCTATTTCCTAAAACAGTATGTCTACAAAATTCTCATGCTGATTCTCGTTTTGCTTTAAAATAAAAAGGCACTAATGATCTGGCTTTTAACTTTATAATCTTCTGCAACTGATTTTTCGATACATGCAACACTTAAGAGATAAGTGAGAGGTCCAAGTACAGATGGAGTGCTTTTGGTCCTTAAAAGACGCAATTTCTGAAGGACTTGCTTGCAAGTTCCTTGACATTATGTTTTTATTTGTGGTTTCAGCTGGATCACTCAGTATCTCTGTTGTCCCTAACCATGTTACCTAATGAGCTGTGTTATACTAGGGGAAGGGAGATACATGAAACTATAAAGAAATTAAGTGTTTCACTGTTTTCCTTTTGCAAATACTTGTTGTTTCTGACGTTGCAAGGAAGGTTTTATGATATTGTTAGCATCCATGTTTTGGATATAATTATTCACTGCAATAAGCTTTTCCATGAGTGCTTCTGCCTAACCATGAGTATTCCTTTAGAAGGTTGGGTAAAATTCAGGATGCTATCTGATGGCTATGTTTTCATGAGGGCTTGCAGCTTTGTTAGGGGCGAGTTGTTGGTGAACATTAGTGTATTTTCTAGGTTTGAGATGTGGAGCTGTGGGGGCAAACTGTTGTAAATTTACCAAGTTTAATAGCATGCTGGGAATATACTGAACCTCGTGTTAGTGCCAGAATGCACAGGTATAGATCTGCTCTTGTCAGCATCTGCGAACCTAAGTAGTGATTTCACTTAATAGGACTTCCAAGATTTGGTACAGCTCGTTGATGAACAAGACAGAGGAACAGATCCAGGTGTATTTTTAATGGCAGTCAGTTCCCCAAGACAGTTCACTGCACATTTGTATAATGCTACTACTGTGTATGTAGAAGGTGCACTGCAGTAATGCAGGACTGCTCCTTTGTGCGGTCAGGTTCAGCTTGTGTCAGTTTAATGTCATGGAATGATAGTGGTGAAGATGGCACAGCATATGCACTGTGTTAGTCAAAAGCTTTCCAAAGCTGTTTTGTAAGCTTTGCAATTGCTCGGTTGAAGCAACATGTGCTTAATTTTTAAAGTGAACAGATATAAAACAAAATCATGGAGTTTTTTTAAGTGAAGTTCAGACAGTTCAGTGTTTTTCTTAACTTGTAGTGAATAGCTTGGACTTAAAGTTTATTTGGTTTGCACGCCAAATGTACCCATTGAAATATTGTCAGCAACCAGATTTGGAGCAGCTGTGCACAGGCATTTGACATTTGAGCAGCCCTGTTTAGTTTTGATTGTGAAAATTGCTCAGTGCTAGTTACCACATGGGAAAAGCTTGTTGAAACTATTGGGTTTGAGGAATAGCATAGGATCTCAGCTGTAACATTTGACAACGCATACAGAAATGGGCAGACATAAGGTTTTGTATTTGGCTTAGCTTTGAGACTTCTCAACACTCTGAGTGATTAATTGAAACTTTTGATTTTGTAGTACTGAAGTGTGTAATTGCTGAAACAGGATTGCTTTTAGAATACAGCACACAGATATGATGCTTGTGTTTAAAGGGGTAATAGCTATTTTTATCTTCAATTTTTTAATAACTGTTTATCTAAATCATAATTTTTTAGGGCAGAAAATTTCTCTTCCCTTTGCTTCATATATATTGTGCTCTTATTCTTTTGTTAATGTTGGGTGTTTTCACACTTTCTGTGTTTCCTGATTACATGCGTTATTCAGACTGTTACAGATTAAACAGAATGGGAAACTTGAGGTGATAATACAGATAAAACAATACTTTTGTCTGCTTACAGCTAATACCTATATTTCAGGAGCCCTATTGAGTACAAGATTGGTATTGTGGGTTTGCTTTATGACAAAAACATTGGTTTTAAATTAATTTTTATCATGGAAGTAAGTAGTAATGAAATTTCCATTTTGTTTGTAGTATTCCTTCTTTCAAACAGATATCACTTTGCTTTTGAAGGAGAAGCTTTATTTATCTCTTCAGGAGTCATCTTTGTATGAATTAAGTTTTCAGCAAGGAATCATTAAACTAAATATCTCAGGAAGTTATTTACAGTTTCTTTATTAAACTACAGGAATACAGTTTTTGCTGAGTATGGTAGTATATTTGTGACTTGACACTGCACTTAAATATTGATTGGCAGCTGCAAAGGAAGAAGTGGAAAGAGGGAATCTTGAAAAAGCTGTGTGCCTCTTATTGTTGAAAAACAAAGCTCCTGTACTGTTTGACTGTTTATTAAAATGGCAACTGCTCATTTATAACAATAGGTCTTTAATTTGTTTTCAGTCCTCCCACCCATATAATCACTGTTAATGGCAAGGAGTGTATAAACTTTGCATCGTTTAACTTTCTTGGACTTTTGGATAATGAAAAGGTTAAGGTGAGTTCTTCCAGTTATTGTGTTTGTGTGATTACTCTTCTTTTACTTTGTATGTTATTTTGAAATTAAGAATGACTTCAGAAAGCACAAACTTTATCAAGGAAGTATACTTCTAAAGCAGCAAGGAAGATTATAAACCTTGTAATTTTGTGCTATTTAAGTTTGTCTTTTTACTAAAGTTTAATCTGGTGTACTTACTGCATACTAGCTGATTATCAAGTTACATTAGTATCTAATGTCCTTAATCATTAGAATACAACGAATGATGCTTAAACACTTGTCTAAAATAGTTTTGATGTGAAATTAATGCGTAGAATTCAGTACATTATTGTATTTTCTGTAAAGCAGGTCATGTTACATGATGCAAGAACTGGCCTGTGTACATTGGTATAAAATTGTCAACGTGAAGTGTATAGAAGAGTTAGAGAACTAGCGTAGAAGTAAATATTTCGTGTAATTCTCTTCTGTTAAAGAGTGCGGCCCAGGCATCCCTGAAGAAATACGGTGTTGGTACTTGTGGACCTAGAGGATTCTATGGTACTTTTGGTGAGTAACTTACTTTGATTTGCCTTTAAAGGTGTTCAGACTGGTTTGGTAAGTCAGCCAAAATAGTCCTATATATAAGCAGCAAATTATTTCTATCACTGTGAAGAACAGTTACCCTCTAACACACTTCTTGCTGTAATTGTTATGGATTGGTAGCGTTTATTGTTCGTAGGTTTGTTTCTTGTTCATTTTATGTATTTTCTTACTCTTTCTAATGCTGGTCTTGGAGGAGAGTTGCGAAGTTAAATATAATCTGTTTTAGTTCTGGGCGCCATAGTAGAAAGAGAAAATAAACATATTAGAATTTAATCATGCATGGTGAATTTAAGTATAAATTAATAGTAAGTTTCTAAGTAGACCACAAGAGGGCAGTCTGATTTCTATGGTAAAGGTTATTAGTTAAGTTTGTCTAATGCTGTAGTCAGAATGAAGTTTTCCTTTACTGATAACTTTAATGTTGTAATTAGATTTTACGATGCGAGCATGTGTTACTAAGGGTTTTTTCATTCTTTTAAAGAAGTAGTAAGTTGTTAAATATCAGCCGCTGGAAATAGTTCTTTGCAGGCATTGGTATTTTGAAATAGTGCGTGGAAATCAAAGAGTAATACATGAAAAGCTGCACAGTTGCAGGCTAAAACCATCGACTTACTGTCTTGTGAACTTTCCGGTCTCTTCCCAGAGGTGATGGAATTCACAGCATGTTTGTACTCAAATGATTTCATAGAGTTAGCTTCCTATAGCCTTGAATTCAAGACTAACTTGAACTTTTCTCAGTTAATCAAACTAGTTCTTTAAATGATCAACCAGGTGCTGTACCTATTTTGATTTGTTAGAAGTCTATATATCAGAATGAAGTTGAATCTTTGGTATCAATCTTATAGATTGTTTATTAGCCTAGAACCATAATTCATTTCTAAAGAAGGTGATGGTAGCCAATTGATTAGTAGAGAGCTTTTAGGAAGCTAGATTCCCTCACTGATCACAGCTCAGCAGTGACCTGTTGGAATTCAAACAGGCTTTTTTTTTTTTTTTTTTTTTTTTCCCCAAAAACACTGAAAAGGTCAAAGAAACTTGTGTACTAATGCCTCGTGCCTTTTGAGTCGAGGCTGATTTTAGTTTTGCAAATCTTTCACTTTGCTTCTTTCTAGTAATTATTTGAAACAGACTGGTTAAAAGTTTATGTTCTCTGGTAAGTGAGAGATTCTTTGGGTTGTTTCCTGCCCTCTTGGGAGGTCTAATCCTAAGATCCAAACTGTATAGCTGTTGCATTTGGTTTGGTTGCTGTTCATTGGCTTCTGAATTTTTTGGGTACATGCTCCATTTCACAAAGCAGGGGATATAGTCTGTGGTATTGCTGCATGACATCACTTGTGAAGAAATGATGTTACTCTTGCCTATTTGAGATATCTTTTACAGATAAAGTAACGGAGAATTGGTTTAAAATTTGAGGAAAACACCTGCTGTTCTTGTTGAATCCCAAGCTGTCTTCCCATTTTCCCTTGACTTTAAACATTTGAGTATTGCAGGATTATGAATCTCTGATAAGAAACACTTCTTACATCAGTAATGTTGAATGCCTCAAACTTTTCACACAATTTTTTGTGTGCTGTGACTTCCGTAAATGAGTCATGTTGTGTCCAGAACTACTTAGTTTCCTCTTACTTAACTATATAGGAGGCGGGGGGGAGGGGTTCACCCACTGTTCGTGACACGTGGTTGGTAAGCATTTGCATTGTGCATTGCCTGCTTTGTATATTCTGTTATTGTTGTTGTTCTCATTGTTATTATTACTGTTCTACCTTGTTTTTTTTTTTAATTATTAAACTGTTTTTATCTCAACCCGGGAGCTTTCCTATTTGTGCCCTCCCGATTCTCTCCCCCATCCCACCAGAGGGGGCGGGGGGATGAGCAGGCGGCTGCGTGGGGTTTATTTGCTGGCTGGGGTTAAACCATGACATTTGGAAATGTAGATATCATGTTATAATTTATTTTGAATGGAGACTTGATTCTTCATATCTCTGCCTGTTTGAAGGGATTTTGTAGATTTAGTGAGTCCTTATTAAGGCATTTTTGCTTTGTGCTGTATCCCTGAAAACTGCATCCATGCCTTTATCCTATGATAAGCTTGAAATACTAGTATATTCACACATAACTGAATCTTCATGGTTATTTTCTCCATAATGACAGCTGAGGACTGTATCACTCTTTTGGTGGTGGGTTTTTTTTTTTAAGGCTATTGTTGATTGCCTAGCAGCCACAATTTCAGTACTACTGTGAAGATCGGGACTGGCTACCCGATAAAATGTATAAAAGATGATGTGGGATTTGGTCTCAGTTCTTCTGCTTTTCACTTGCATGCGAGCATGTGCTAGGCATTAAACTGGCACTTCATAGCAGTTGTTGGCAATAATAGCTTTATTAAGGTGTAATAATTTTGTAGAAAGCTGTTCCAATCATATCTTCCTCTGTGCAAATGTACTCTAGGTAGCGTTTGCAGCTTTCACTTAAGCTAGATTAATCCAAGTGATGTAACCAGACTAAAGCAAATCATTGCAATAAAGAATGGGAGAATCAGATAGTATTCTGTTTTTGTCATGGTGGAATGGTAGTGGAGCCTTAATACTGTCTTAAGCTTTTCAACTTCACAATTATACAAAGCATTCATTCCCTTATGGAACGATGTATCAAATTCGTGTATGCTGTATGTCATTCTGAATTTAAATGTTCTCGCCCTTGGCAAAATTCAGGAGGGTTGTAGAATTTTTTTCTTTAACACAAATATGGTTATATTCATTAGCTCATTATTGCTGACAGTATTTCTTTTGCCCACTGTTTTTACCTAGCCCTTGCTCAGTGTAGTGGCTGAGTAAAGCTCAGAAGCGGGCAAGTTTTCATTTTTAACTGTGATCGTCGTATCATCTTTTCCAGTTCTTTAGTTAAAGGATGTAGGTGGTCTTTTACACTCAAACAAAACATTTTTCCCCATTACGTATCAATAGCTGGGCACTCAAAGTAGCAGTTCAGTCCTTGTTTCCCCTAATTTGTTCTATACTCGTCGGGCTTCAAGAAGGAACATTTTCAGCTCAGTATTGTTTATATTGCATGTTTTAAATGCCATGTGGCCAGCCTCTTTTTTTGGTGCTTGCTGCCAGAAAAAGATCTTTCTTGGGCTTTTTGTTCAATAATTGAATCAAAGTTTATCCATCCTGTTTTGAAGCCTGACTGGAGATTGTTTCATTGGTCCTGAAGTCCATGTAACAATAAAGAAAAAGATACAAATATTCTGAAAAAGGACTACTTAAAATCTCTATCAGAAAAGGTATATTAGATAACTCCAATAAGTATTCTTCCTTCCAAAGGCTTTGGAGAAGAAAGGCTGTTCTAGGTTTCTCCAAACTTTTAGTATATTTGATACAGCTGGATCAAAGTGATAGGTAGCAAAAGAAAACTTTCAAATAATAAGTGATTAAGCGTTTTGTTTCCATTTAAAAACAGTGGAAAAAAACAAATAAAAGAATTCCTTTCTATTCCATTTTTTGATGCTCAGGTAAACATTAGGAAAGGATTGTTGAAGATTTATAGTTTGCAGTCGATGGATAAAACTGCTCTTGACTGTGATTGGGAGGCTGTTGTTTGAAGACATACCTTTTGCTTTTATGTATAAATACGTGAATCAGGTGGATGTGCCCTTTTTGGGAAAGGTTATGCTAGATACTTGTTTAGTATGGCGAAGTTAAGATTTTTACAAAGCCCTTTCTTCCTACACCCTTGCTGTCGGTATGTGGCTAGAAATAGCAACATTGACATAACCGTGCCTCATAGGCTATTGAAGAATCTGTATTTTTCACTGATGTTGCCTCATTGATTTTAGTTTCAATGAACTTTCAATAATTGCAAAAAGGTAACATTTGGCCAATGGTGATCTTTCAAGTCACACAGTAACTACCTCTATTTGTCTTTTAATCTTGTATATTTCCAGTTGATAAAAGGCATAATTCTCTGACTAACACTTGCTAGCAGAAGCAGGTAGCGGCAAGAGAGTTACACAATTAAAATAAAAGTTTGTCTGATCAGGTTATTTTGCTTAGGCAGAATACTTAATGCTGTGGTCACCTTTCTGCAGCAACAATCGACTTACCCTGGTGGGTGGTATTACCCTTCTTAATCTTTTAATTTAGTGGTGTTTTGTTTCTAACATGGGTCACTTTCACTGAATTGGTTTGGGAAATGCTTGTGTGTGTAATTGTGTCAATTTATCTTAAGGGTGAGTAATCTCTGGCATGGAGATGGTGACCTTTTCAATTGGCTGAAGTGCGTGGAGGAGATGGTATGTGATTGCAGCCTGACAAGAGCAGTTTTCTGTTACAATGATAGCTGTGCTATATGCAATGGAAGCATCAGCTTGGAAGAACTGACAGTCTGCCAACAGGACCTCATTAATTGCTATAAATTACATAGATATTTGTTGTCTGACTGTAGTAACTGTGCTCCCTAGTCGCAGTCCAGGAACGCTGCATCATTTACTTGTGGTTTAATCACAAGTAGATTTTAATTACCATTGCATAAGAACATTAGAGAACCACATTACATAAATATTTTCAGATCTATCAAAGCTTCTGATTAATATTGGGTTACTTGTCAGTTTAAATAAGGCTGGAGTGGTTGCAGCTGGTTTTTGGGAAGTTATTTGTTGTAACACTGTTCCTACAAATAAACATTCTATTTGCTGCAATTAGATCATTGCTAAAAGCAATGCTAGTCTTTATGATATAAAAACAAGTAAACTATCTAACATTTTTTCAATTTTTCTCTCAAATAGATGTGCACTTAGAATTAGAAGAACGACTAGCAAAATTCATGAGGACAGAGGAAGCTATTATATACTCATATGGATTTGCAACAATTGCCAGTGCTATTCCTGCATATTCGAAAAGAGGGGACATTGTGTTTGTGTAAGTATTGTTTTCTACTTGGGAAATTCCAGATTAAAGAGTTTTCCTTTCAGTTCTTCTTTTTCATTATTGTTAATCATATTAAGTTAACCATTTAGAAAATAATGCTGGTTTTGATCAAGTATTTTGTTGTATAAAGCTCAATTATCTTTTCTTTGCAAAATACTCCAAATCAAATCAATTACTGCTTTTATCATGGAAGAGCAGACCTGGGCACTCAGCTGGGAAAAAAAAAACCAAACCAAATGTGTGCATGCAAGAACTAACAGAAGTCTAATACCTAGTTTTCTTCTTAAGAAACTGTACAGTCATATTTGCTTTTCTCCTGTTTACTGCTGGCTTTTCACCTTTCTTGCAGGACAGTTGTTCCCCTCATGCATATTTGCAACAGATTAGTTGGATAAATATTGGCACATATTAAAATAACACAAGAACAGCTATGCAGGGTCAAACTAAGGATTCAGCAAGCCCACTGTTTGGTCCCTGAGAGTAGCCAGGCATAATTTGTCTAGGGAAAGAGTAAAACAACAGGAAAAACAATGTAACAATACTCAAAACTTCCTGAGCCAAAGAGGAGGGTTTGGAGTTGGTAGCAGTTGATGGATTTTTCTTAAGCCTTCCTATTCTTTTAGTACCTTTGTAAACCTTTAATATCCACAATGCTTCTATGACATGTAATTTCACAGTTTAACTTGAACATTTTATGAAAAAATATGAAGAAATACCTGTTTTGAATATAACACCTACTAATTTCAGTTGATGCATTTGATTTTTAGACAGTGAACTGATGCATCTTCTCCATGGGGAGAGTGAGTGAGTGGCCATGTGGGGCTTACCTGCCTGCTGAGTTTAAGCCACAACACCCTGACACTTTTGTATTTGTCTGCCAAAATCTTTCTTCAGTACTCCCTTTTCTAAGGGTAAGGCTTGCAGCCTATTTGACTTCTTTTACATAAGTTCCTTCATAACTTTGATCATGTTTTTTGGTCATCTTTGAACATTTTCCGGATCAGCTTTTTTGAGATGAACGACCAGGATTGTGCACACTATTCAAGGTGCCAATGTATCCTGTATTTAGCTATATTGTACTGTTTCAGCTTCTTACTGACAAAAGATCTCACCATATTTTAAAGTAACTTGATTGAAATTACTGCACTTAGCATGTGCAGAAGGTTTGATTTAGTTGCCACTTTTAAAAGATTACTCGACTTAAGCAGCTGTGAAATTGCATACCCCATCATGCTCAGAGATTTGCTTTTCCAGCACTTAAAAATGGCGGATAGTTCTTTGAACGCTGATATAGTAATTCCCAAAGGATATTAAAAAGGAGGTTTTGAATACTTGGAGGACCACTATAAATGTTACAGGCACATCTTTGTGCCTTTTTTCTAAGACCCGGAGCAAATGGCATGAGAGGTTTCTGGGATGATTACCATGGTATTGTACCTGTTCCATGGAATGTTGTGCTCAAATAAACTGCTGTCACATACAAACAAAAGGATCAGTGTACACTTCAAGAAAAAATCTGTTAGCTTGCTTTTAGTGGCTATAGAGCATAGGAAAATTGAGAAGCTTTGGAAATGAGTTTTCAAAATGTAAATAAAATATATGATGCTTTAATAAATCTGGTTTTAACTACACCTAAGTACAGATACTTGCTCAAAAACAGGACAGTCCTAATAGCCAGCTTTCTTTGAATAATTGTTAAACTGAGTGCAAACTTAGAACGGCTCGCTTTATTTACAGAGATGAAGCTGCCTGCTTTGCTATTCAGAAGGGATTACAAGCATCTCGTAGTAACATCAAGTTATTTAAGCATAATGATATGGCTGACCTTGAACGACTGTTGAAAGAACAAGAGACTGAAGATCAAAAGGTACCAGTCCTTTGAAGAAATATTTGTACTCTTTTGTGCCACCACCCCCACATTTTTTTACTGGGTTGTGTAATTGAATGGATGCAATACTTAGAGGCAGTTATTTGGTTTTCCTAAATCTGTATTGAGCAGTTAATGTTGCTTATGTAATTAAGATAGATTTTTTTTTTTTTTTAAATTTATTTATTTATTTGCATTTGTCTGTGTAACCAGTGGAAGTGAGCTCACAGGCATTGGTAGTGGGGGAGTATCTTTATGGGCAGATGACTGAAGTGTGAGATTATTTTATTTTTTTAAAATAGTATTACAGAGCTTTTTTTTGGTCTTTTAGAAATTTGTATAACTGCATTTACCTAATAAATCATGCAAGTTAATTATCACTTCGAAAGCCACACCGTAAAATCAACATGGCTAGTCCTAACCGTTTAATTTATAGAACCAATATGATTCTTTTTTTTTTTTTTTTCCTTAGACTCTTCCCCTATCTTGCACTCAACTCTTAAGATGTTCTCTTTCTTGAAAAATTTGGGTCAGTTTGATGGCTTGCTTCTCATTCTGACAGTAATACAAAAGGGTATCCAAAAGCAGCTACTAAAATCAGGATCAGCAAGTACAGAAAACTTCATTAAACGAATCTTAAAAAGAATTAGCTGTGTCTCATCATTCACACAGTGCTGGAAAGTTACAGACAATTGGAAGAAAGCTGATTTTGTGCTAACCCATAGAAAAAGTAAAGTAGATAAACTGCATAATTATAAGCCAATCTGCTTAACATCAGTCTAAATCAGTAACGGATCTGATTAATAGCAAATTTATAGACAACATACTAGTTAACATACCTTAATGGAAAATACTTTTTGTCAGATAATCTTTATATGAGTTTTTAGATGTGGTTGACAGACTATTGATGCAATTTGTGTAACACATTTGGTTTGTTAGAGCAGAGTGCTTTGATTTAGCTACATGGTTAAAGTTTCTTAATGTAATTAACTGAATGTGAACATAAAGTTGGTGGCCAAGAGCTTAATATAGACCATGCATGTATAACTAAGACATACTGACTAGGGAGGGGTAGATCTTAACCACTAGAGTTGGTCCAACGTGTGGAATGGACTGTGCCTAGTTTTGGTGCCTACCACTCAGAAAAGTCAAATAGATTCTCTGAATCTTTTAACAAGAACTGAAAAAGGTAAGAAGCCTGACTTAATGTTCTTGATCAGAAGATATCAATAAGGTTTAAAGTAAATACCAGGGGAATGGCATTTTAAAACAACAAAACTCAAATCATACCATTGAATTTTAAACAGAAACCAGTGCAGGGTATTCTTATGGCCTATATTGTCCAGAGATCAGACAAGGAGATTGTAACTTGAATGTTATGAATACTTTTGGATTGTGTTTCATGAAGACACTACTTGTGAGAGGTTTGAGCTGCATTGAGAATCCTGGTGCACAAACCACTTGTTGAAAAGCCTTCTAAATGCTCAGACTAATGATGAATATAATAGAGACCAAGATTTGTAGTATTTGTTCTGTAGTTGTGTTGTTTGTATTTTTTTCATAAAGTTCAAATGGATTGATTATGATTTGTTGCAAAACAAGGCATCTTAAAACTTGTGTAAAGTTAAAAGCTTTAAAATTATTACAAAATAAATAAAAACTAGTCCAATGAGGCATTTCAACTTTCATTACAAATGATAAATACTGAATTTACACTAAAGTAAAAGCTTACTTGGAAAAGAGACATTATGTTCCTTCCCTTCCCATTACTGTCCTTCCCTATCAAAAAATCTTCAGAGCTTCGCTTGTTAGTAACAATTGATTCGAACTGAAACCTTATCTTTCTCTGAAGAATCCTCGCAAGGCCCGTGTAACTCGAAGGTTTATTGTAGTGGAAGGATTGTATATGAACACAGGAGATGTTTGCCCTCTTCCAGAATTGGTAAGTGGTTTCACTTTGCCTTTTAAACTCTGCATATGAAAACAAGTGACTAATGAAATAGTAGTATCATATAGTTAAGCCTACATAGAAAAGCTCTGCATGCATTTTTTTTGTTTACCTTCTTGCTTTCCCAAACTAGAGAAAGTTGATGAAATGGCGATCCCAAACCTTACCTTGTTTTGAAACTTCTGATCAGAATTAGGATTCTGAAGCTATATGTAACGAGACTTGCAAATGAATATTGGGTTATGGTCTTAGTTTTAACCTGTAAAATATACTGTATTTTCAGCTATACTGTATGATACTAAATTGTTAAACTAAGTTATATTTAAAAAAAAAAAGTAGTTTCAAAGTAACCCTCACACAGCTGTCATAAACAGTGACTCCAAGGAAAATATTTGCTATTCAGCATAAATTGGCTTTTTGTGCAGGCTATGTTCTAGTAGACAATGGAAGAAATGCTGTGAAAATGCATCATCTTGAAAGTACTTGATAGCCTATTTAAAAAAAAAAAAATTTTTTTGGTACATGAACATTTATGAAATTACTCTAGCCTTACATGGTGGAAGAATTTTGAAGGCTTTTAAAATGTCTTAATGACAGAACACAATTCTAGAGCTGACATTTTTGCAGTATTCAGGATACTGTACTTGTCTGTCTTTACCTTATCTCCCCCACCCATTTTGTTACCAAATTCTGATGGGCTTGACTTGTATTTTACATAATTTCCTCTGTTTTAGGTAAAATTGAAGTATAAATACAAAGTTAGAATATTTTTGGAGGAGAGCCTTTCCTTTGGAGTCCTTGGAGAACACGGAAGAGGAATTACTGAACACTTTGGAATAAATGTAAGTGCCTGTTTTGTGAGTTTTATTGTGAACAAGAGACTTGTACAGAAGCAAATTGCGCAATTCATTTCTTATACCTGTGGCATTAACAATGTTTAGTAGTGTATGATAGAAATTTAAACATACTTTTCTGATCAGTCTCAAAGCGTTCAGGTCTTGGCACTTTTCTTTCATGTGCTTACTTGAAATAATTCTACTTACCTTTAGTGAGAAAGATAACAAAAGAATTTTTACAGGGCATAATTTTAACCTTTTTTTGGACGCTTGGTCAGATGGCGATTGCAGTATTTTCCAGACGCATACACTTAAAAGTGTCATGCTTACACAGAAATATTTGGGGGCTTGGGGTAAGTCAGAAAAATCTTCTCAGTGTATAGCCAGCCTACTTTGCTCTATTGCCTTTTACACCAGTGGGGAAAAATAGGATAAAGCTTTTGATGGTCTTTTCAAAGATGTTGTCTTACTACTTTACCAGCAGATTAAGCCAAACTATTTTTCCAAGAGTCTACTTTTTGTGCTGTTTATTTAGCTGAGGAGTGCTTTGGGAATCCAGATCTGTATCCTTGTGGGTGGTTGTTACCACAGCTACCTGAGCTGGGGAAGGAAAAAGTGCTCTTTTGGTTGCCAGTGTCTTAGTGTGGAGCATCTCTCACTACATTCTGACAGTGTCTGAGTTCAGTTTGGAAGTGAAATATCAAATTCTGAGAATTAATTCTCTCTTCCCCTATCTCCTATTGTTTTCACTTTAAGTGTCTTAATACCAAATGTAGAAGAGGGGAAATGAATGTTAAACAGCTTTAGAAAAGGAAAAAAACAGTGCTACTGTGATGCTTGCCAAGTACTGCCATCTGGTTGATTGGCTTCTATGTTAAATTCATTTACAAACATAATCTTTCAGTTTTGTCTGTGCAGAATGGGAATTTGTAGCAGTGGTCATCAGTGTGCATTACGAAGCCTGACAAAAAAATGAGTTTGCAACTAACAAGTGAAATAAGACAATTGTGTCTCTAAGGTTCAAACTCTGATCTAACTAGGCTTACGCTCAATTTTAATCACATTCTAACTCCTGGTAATTGCAGTGGGACTACTTACATTCTTAAAGGACACTGTCACACTGAGTGCTTTAAGGAATTGTCACCCGTATCTATATAATTTGTTTTTTCTGTTTGTGTTCTTCACATTGCAATGCCTGGAAAAGAATAAATTATCTACAGATCTATAAAGCTCAATTTCTAAAGTCCTTTTGCATTGCTTAAAATTGTTATTTCAATTGTAGCTTCATTTTAATATGTGATAGTTTGGCGGATCTTCTCCAGTATTCACAATAATATGGAACAACATACATTTTTAATAGATTTATCGTATAAATAGTCTTGATGTAATCAAAAGCATCTCTTAATAACTTGTTAATTTAACTGGCAGATTGATGATATAGATCTTATTAGTGCAAATATGGAAAATTCACTGGCTTCTATTGGAGGATTTTGCTGTGGAAGATCTTTTATTATTGACCATCAGGTAAGCCAGGTCTCATTTTTATACGGTGCGGCAGGATTAGTTACTTAGAAATGAGAGTTAGTTACTAATATCAATTTGCAAGGAGTGTTATGATATAAATTATTATGCAACATTTGACTCCATACAGAAACTAACTGGTTCTATGAAATATTGTGGGTGAATTGAAGACCTACTTTTAAATCCTTCCATGAACCTGTAAGTGTGGAGGAGAGGTTGTTTAAATGTATGTGAATTAACTTTTAAAACGTTGTGTATACTGCTATAAACAAAAAAGTGATTTTCCCCCACAGCGATTGTCTGGTCAAGGCTACTGCTTTTCTGCATCCCTACCTCCTTTGTTAGCTGCTGCTGCTATTGAGGCTCTGAATATTATGGAAGATAATCCAGGTACTTAATTCAGGAAAATCTTATTCTTCAGTCTTTCTTCACCCAAAACTAATAACTCATACTTCTCCCTACTTTGATTCCTCACGCTTTTACTCTTGTTAAGTCCTCTCTCTTTTTCAGCTAATTAATTTTATATGCATAATTTTTTCTTCATATAATTCCCCATCCTACTTTTCTTCTTCAATGTTTCCTCCCCTTTTCTTCTTCCAGCTGAAAATGAGAGAGTTAGTTGAGGCTGGGAGGGACAGAGATGATTATCACTAAGCAAATAAGAAATTACTATTCTACTTTATAGACTAGTGATATGCTTCGTCCTTGAAAATGAATTCCTTCGAGACAAATGGAGGAAGGGAAGGTTAAAGAGAAACAAATGGGAATGTATTTCCTCAGGACTGAACAACCCTTTCCTTTCCACTTGCACTACATAATTTTTTTTTCTTCCCCAAATAAGCATCCAGGCAAGAATCTCAGGAATGATCATGGTGCAAACACCTGCAATTTTGGCAGGACCAAGTACAGGACTTTTGGGTGAAGTTGGCAGGCAGGAGTTTCTGCTCTAGGAGTCCGAGGATTGCCCTTGTTGCTAGAGCCTAAGAAAGACTTTTTTGTGGGGGGTGGAGGCGGTGGGAGGCATATGAGAAGGACAAAATTGGCCAAATCTGTGTGTATTTGTTTTTAACCTTCATTTGCATCAACAGATTGGAGGACATCTGCAGAGAGATGCAGTATTTAATTTGTCACAAATAAATAAAAACTACTGGGTACCCACGCCTAGTCCTCAGAAGTTAAACAAAAGCAAGAAAAAATTAAGAATAAGTTTATAGGACTGTTAGCTGTAGTGGAGGGTCAACCTCTACCAAGGAAAAGAACCAAGGTTTGCAGATCCAGGAGTCAAAGTTTCCTGTTTAAGAATCTGCAGTGAGTTGGTGAAAGGATCAAGGAGCAGAGTCTGCATGGCTGTAGATATTTTATAGATATAACTAAGTTGGACCTTCCGTTTCAATCCCATTACCAAGTGTTTGTGTCATCCTTTCCGTATAATCATGAACCAATGCAGCTGGAGTAATGAGATAAAGGGAGGTAAGCATTTGTCAGATCTTAAAAGCCTGTCATTTCCTGGCAGAAATGGGAATCAGGAACATCATGAAGAGTAGTGAAGAGACTTACTACTTCAAATAGATATGTATATCTTGGTTTTCCTTCCAAATGCTTTTTTTGAAATCTTAGACTTACAGGAATGTAAAGTAGAAACAGGATATCTAAGACTTTTCCTTTTTCTTTTTTTTTTTTTTGTGTGTAGACATTTTTCAGACTCTCCGGGCTAAATGCGAACGAATTCACAAAGCTTTACAGGGGTAAGTGTGTTTTTGGGGGGTTTTTTGGCTGTTGTTGATTTGACCATGCCTTTATAATGCCAACTTTAAAGAACTCTCCTTGCCCAAATCTATTTCTGATTTTAGAGATGCCACTAAATGATGTACGTATTAAAGGAAGAAAGTAATCTTTTTCTAACTGTCTCTGTTATGCTACTAAAAAGAGTCCACGTTTTTAGAATCTCTTTAAAGGTATTGAAATGAGATTATACCTTAATGCTAGTGAGGTTGTTTGCAAGCTCTTACACATTTAAGTCTTCAGGAGAGTATGATAGCTTTCAATGGTACAAAGTGCTGATAGGCATGTTGAAAAAAATGTCTAAGTAAAAGCACTTGGGGTGTAGCTTAGCAGATACTCTTTCAGACAACTCCATGCACCTTGCAATCACCTTTAGTACAATATTGTTCTTACATATGAGACTTGAATGTTAAATAGTAATAGAAGTATTCATTATTCTGGAGACACACAGAGAATTGCTAGAATTTAACTGAAAAATAAGGGTTCTGTTTCAAGTTTCCTAACACTATCCTGTTTTAAAAGACGGCTATACTGAGTAATTGCTTTTTTCCCTGACAGGTTTTGATACTAAAAAATACAGAAATTACTGTGACTATTCAATGACTGTTTAATGTGCAGAATAGGTATGCTGGCTCGTTTTACAATTCATGTTTTTCAACAGTATTCTGTTACATATGACAGAAATGAATAACATTTAAACACACACAAAATCTATGATGCATGATTGATTACACTAGCTGATTTTTTATAGTACTAGTCACTTAGTTATTCAGTGTGAGTTGCTTCTTATTTCAAATAAGTGGTTTCCTGCTTAGCTGATGTTCTATGTTAGAACTTCAGCTACATTCAACTTCTTTGGAATAATCCTATTATCAAGTAATCCTTGTCTGCTTTGGCTGCGTTCTGTTTCAGCACGGGTTTAAAATGCATAGGTTTTCAGGTCAAAGACACACAGATGCTTCTATGCTTGAAATTAAAATTTTAGAGTAACTTGAAAACTGTTAGCGTCTCTGCTAGTAATAGAATGTTATGATTGAGCTAAAAGGAGAGTAATTGTAATACTCTTCTCTACCTGTCATTTTTAGGTGATAATTATAAATACATTTAAAATACAGGTAAAAAAGTGTAAGGAAAAATTATCAATCTTTTACTTGTTAATATTCACTGCAAAACAGAAGCAAATAAGCCATGGCTGGTACTTTTCTATCCTGTGACTGATTCTACTTCTTCACTTAAATTCAGTGATTAGTATAGTCACAAATAAACAAGTAGGCAAAATGCCTGAGTGTCTGTAATAGGATTTTTGTATTTTTGCCGTATGGAAAACAGTGTGGTAACATAGAGGTCCAAAAAAATTGCAAAGGAAATAGTTCCTCAAGGTCATACTGGGAAAGAACTTGAAAGACTTAACAACACCATGGAATTGGGCAGCCCTGTAGCAGGAAAACTATCCTAACAATTGCATAAAGCAATATCAGAGAGAAGATTTGAATTGGTATTTGCAGGGTCCAATGTGTTTTTCTTTTTTTTAATCAAGAACCACACTAGAAAAAGTGTGTGATGGTTCAAAGAGGAGGCAAAGTTTTCAGAACAAGCTTCTTTTAATGCTGTGGTGTTAAATGCACTCATCTTCCCTGCCTAACCATGGCTGCTGCTTGTCTCCAATTCTTTACGGTGGTCTCACTATGATAGAGTGGAACTAACTGTTGGTTTAAAAGGAAGCGTAAAATGGTGGTAGAACGGTACACAAAGGAAGTGGGAAAGAATACACAGCTTTTCTCCTTTCTCATAGTAGAACAAATACAGTGAGAGGAACAAATTAAAAGTAAAGGAGATCTTTCTTTTAGCCAAAGTGTAACTAACCCATGAAATTTAGCACTTGATACATAAGGACCAGCGTGTGATTAGTGTTCCAAAAAAAATGTTGGTCTTTATGTGGATTATGGTGGGGGAAGAAACCATAGTGTTGTAAGCTAGAGGAATGATGTTTATTCCTGTTCCTGGTACAAGCCAAGTGCTGGTTTGTGGAAGAAATGGAAGAATTCTTCTGAATCCTGTATAGAACTACTTTCTTACTGTCTATGGTAGTTCATAAAGCATAAGAAAATGCAGTAAGAGATGGGATGATTAACACAAATCAGGAATATTCTTAACTTTCTTAACAATCTTAGATAAAGTAGATTTCTGTCTTGTATTGAAAAATAGCTAGTATCTTAGTAAATAGAAACACAGAAGCTCTGTTGCAGGGAGACAGGATGGACGGGACAGAATTCTGTGGTTTTTCAAAAAGCGTGACAGTAGTAGGTAATATCCCTTAAATAGTTCATTACTTATTGCATATCTGTCGTGGTTTAACCCCATGCAGCCGCTCACTCACCCCACGCCTCCGGTGGGATGGGGGAGAGAATCGGGAGGGCACAAGGAGGAAAACTCCCGGGTTGAGATAAAAACAGTTTCATAATTGAAATAAAACAAAATAGAACAGTAATAGTAACAGTGAGAACAACAACAACAACCGAATATACAAAGCAGGCGATGCACAATGCAACTGCTCACCGACCACCAACCGCGCGTCACGAATGGGGGGGCGAGCCCCCTCACACACCTGGTTTTTATACTGAGCATGATGTCACATGGTGTAGAATACCCCATTGGCCAGCTGGGTCCACCACCCCAGCTGTGCTCCCCCCGCCCCGTGTGAGCATCACCCAGCAACAGCCGAAGCATCAATGGGCCATCAACGCTCCTTTCATACCAAACCCAAAACACAGCACACCCCCCAAGCTACTGGGAAGAGAGTTAACTCTGTCCCAGCCAGAACCAGGACAATATCCTACACCTGGCTGAGAATTTTCCAGTAAAGCAAGTTTTCATTGGGGAAAGGCAGAGTTTTCCCTTCCAGAGAAACGACGTTTTTTCAATGAGACCTCATTCTAGTTTTCTGTTAGCAAAACTGATGGAAATGTTTATGGTGTTCAGGGCAGCCCAGTAGGGTTCCCTACTGCCGAGAACCTGGTCCTGCCACTCAGTTCTGCGGCCTTGTAGCTGGGGTGCAGAGGGCTGTGAGGAGGGAGCCCCCCAAGGCTAAATCCATACTGGTACATTAATGTCAGGAAGCATTCGTGGGCACTGGATCTCAATTGTCTACTCTGTCAAATTGTTGGAGTGATCTGTGGCATGGGTTTGGTCCAGGCCAAGCAGCGCTCTTTGAAAGGACTCCTGGATACGGTTCAAGAGTTGGTGTGAGTCAGGAGCTGTTCCCAATAGTCAGTCTGGATGTGGCCACCCTGACGTGGAGACTCAGATTTTAAAAGTATGGATGTGAGTTGTTCCATACCCATTCACCACAGGGCCAGAAAAAAGTCCAAGGCATATTTAATTTACTAATACAGAACTAATGTTAAAAGGAGCATTGGACTTCAGGAGGCTAGTTTTGTCCCTTTGTTACTTCAAAATCAGATCTTTCAGACTTCTCTCTTTTTTGTGTGGAAATTGTACATTTTTGTTTGAAAGTGAAACTTTCCCAGCATTTCTTAGGAAAGTGAACTCTGATTTCAGGAAAATTACAGTGTGCATACATTGGATTCTCAAATACTTGTTGAATCTTAATTTGGCAGAGGCTCAGAAAAACATAGCTAAAACTTTATATGAAAGTTAAAGTCTTGCCATCGGAAGACCTTATGTTAAACTCCTGGGTTTCTTCAAATAGTTGGGTAAGATGAATTACGTAGTTCAGTTTACTACAGCTGTGACTCTCAGAAAAAGTTTTAAGGTTAAAATTAATTTTAAAACTTGTAAGCAGCCGCTATGAGTGAGTGTGTAGCAAATACACAGCATGTTGTTTAAGCAAAGACTCAGTTTGAATGGAAGTGATACAAAGTTGCTTACTACTCATCTTTTCTCATTTACTCTTTGGAGGGGGACAGTTTATGATTATATCAATTAAAGAATTATGTCTATTTAATAACTAGAAGCTAATACTGAGTCTCTCTAAACAAAACCTGATTGTTTTAGTAGCTTGTCTTAAACGCTGTTCTCCAGCAAATAGATTTAAAATACAGTGAAACTTCTACTCTCATCTCCCTACTTGTAGAATGCTACTTCGTAGAAGTCAGGTTACTCCTAGGGAACATAATTACGAAGAGATATGTTATATGGCTATACTGTATATTGTCTTTCTCCCTTGTAGCTGGACCTTGCACTGCTTTACCTTGTCCTTTATGTTACCAAATGTATCCCCAGTCCCTAGATATGCGTGCAGTAGTGAGACAAATGCAGTGTGTGTGCTTGCGTATTAAAGAAATTGCCTGTGTTTGGTTAGTTTGCAAGTACAGGTGAATGACACCAGAATGTTTGCAGTTTTGTGGCTGAAGCAGAATATCAGTTTGATTTATCTTTCTGGAATGGACTGTGAATTGAAATAGCATTGTAGAAATAATGCAAGATGCTTTCCATGCTACGGTATAATTTTATTTTTTCAAGGTTATAATTGATTCAGTGTGTTTGTAGTGCCAGTTCTCTCTCCTATAGGCTCCAGTTCTGGTGTTTATGGATTTAACATCTCTTCTGCTCTGACTGGGTCTTGAACTTTATAAAAATAGAAAACTTCTTTGAAAATGAGGGTATAAACTTACAATGTCTGTGAGGCAAGCTCATCAAAGTCAGGAAATCAAAATTACGGCTGAGGGACATGCGTTTACGGGACCTGTTAATTTTGGAGACCAGCGGCCTTGCCTGGGTATTGGATACTGTTTTTTGGAGGGCAATAACTCAGTCCTCAATATGATGATATGATGTGTCAGGACAATGACAATCAAACATCAATAATTTTTTGACAATCAAATGTCAATCATTCAATCAAATTCTAGGAACCCGATTAACAACTGTCCCTATGTACAGATGTGGGAGGAATTCTAGTAATATAACTAGTTTTAGAGGAGCTTCTGACTAAGTGACAGATGATGTTGTAAAGATTTTCTACAGGAAATAATTTAAAATCAGAAGTCTTGCCAAAAAAATAAACCTTGTTTCTTCATATCACATACGTGGGTAAAAAGATTTATTATTATTTATTTTCTTAATATAGACTCCAAAGACTTGACTTAGCTAGCTGTGTTTTTATCAGCAACATACAGACCTAATGCTAACGTTTCTCCTGCATCTTCATAAGGATCCTTTCAAAATTTCTGAATCGTTAATCCTTTTTACAAAAGGAGGAGTCACTATTGTTACACAAACTTGCCGAAACTACATTTATTAAACTCCTTAAGAAAGACATTCACTTGATAAGTTTTGTTATCTTTACCTGTTGCAAGCTGAAATGCACTTATGTTTTGTCTGTATTAGTATTAGTAAAGTGAAATGTCCCTCTCTTCTCACTCTCCATCTAGAAAGGGGAAACATTTACTATCTAGGACTTTAACACGTATGTTCAAGTAGGATGTGCATTAAAGGCTTTTTATTTGTTTTAGGATTTCTGGCTTAAAAGTAGTGGGAGAATCTTTTTCTCCAGCGTTGCACCTACAGTTGGAAGAGAGCTGTGGATCTCGAGAAGATGATGTGAAGTTACTCAAAAGAGTTGTGGATTATGTAAGTGTCCCCATAGCAATTAATATATCACTGACTTTGAATGTGAATAATGGATGAAGTGCATATGGGTAGGGAGGCTTGTTGGGTAACTTGTTGGAATGCTGCAAAAAACTCAGTTTCTTTGCTGACTGTAGGGCTATATTAAAGACCATCTTCTAACCATTTCTTGCTGCAGATGTTTAGGTCTGTAGCACTGGATAAAAATATGTATTAGACCTTTTACTTCAGAAAACAATTATTTCCTATTATGTACTTCAAAATTCAAGTTCAATTTGCATATAAAACTGTTGCTTAGAAAACTTTTATGATGTTCATAAGAATAAAGGCTATCAATTGAAAAGAGTGCTGGTGGTGTATTTTAACCATTGGAGGTCTAGCTTTCTGTAATTTTGCTTGTTTGAGTCCATGAACTTGCTTTTTTGTGTGAAGAGTCTCATGTTTTGTATGTAGTATTTTTTCCATCTTCAATATACATTGGTTCTCTTTCTCCTGCATGAAGGAGATGAAGGTTGATGAGGAAGTTTTATATTTCAGGTGGCAGGTAAACGAGACTACACAACAAAAAGAAACTCTGAAGTTTATTTCCTTGAAAATATGCTTAAATATGATTTAGTAGCCTTCTTAATACAGCGTTTTTATCTGATTACTTGGAGATGAAAGCTAAAGAAGCTACACCCTAACCTGTTTTATGTGTTTATGCTGTATTAAAATTAGAGATAATTTTGCACAACCTTCAAAACCTCCATTTGGGAAAGAACTTATAGTTGTCCTGACACCAAAGTCATAGAAGTTAGTTATATGTATTTGGTGATCAAAATGATATGCCATCAGAAGTTCCCAGATTGACGACTGCGGTATTTTCTTTATTTGTAGTGCATGAATAGTGGTATTGCATTAACTCAGGCCCGCTATCTGGAGAAAGAAGAAAAATGTCTTCCTCCACCCAGGTTAGTAGAAAGTCAATACATTATTTCATTTTATTGGATATGACTCTCTATCTCTTTTCATACAATGATGGGGTTTTGTTCAGTAGACTGGATTGAATAGTTCCCCTGTAAGAAAAGGGAAAGGCTCCATTTTGAGGTATAGTGACTGTTACAGGATGCTAATACCCTAAAATAATTGTATCAAAACTACCTGAATCTCAGTAATCAGCATGTTGCCTGTTTCCAGGCACATTTCCGTGATCTGCACATCTCCCGGTAAAAAAGAAAACAATCAAATTTCTGTGGTGTATATGGGTGGGGTGGAAAGTAGTCTGACCATTTCTGTTTAGTCGTATGTCTTGTTTCTGATTGAATTTGAATTCATAATAATTTCCCTAGAGATAGTGATCTTAGTGTGCTAAAATTAGTACAAGAAAAGTCTAAAGCTGAAAGGCTTCAAGTTTACTGTTTTTCTGGTTTTCTTTTTCTAGCATTCGAGTAGTGATAACAGTGGAACAAACAGAACAAGAACTGGACAAAACTGCATCACTTCTTAAGGAAGCTGCACAGTCTGTGTTGAATTAGACTGCTGTTTGGATTCCTCTTTCCCCAAATTATCAGGATAAGTTTTTTACACTGTATAGTGACTTCACTTCAGATATGCAAGTTCTTCCACTGATGGCATTGAAACCTGACTGAGTAACAAGATTGTTCCAGAATGGTACAAATGCAGTGAGGGGAAGAATACTGAATTTTGGAACTGGTGAATGACACAGTGTGCTTGCAATTCAAACGCTACCATTTACTAGCACTCCTTAAAATGGGATATCACTGTTGCATACAGGAGTCTTTCATAAGTTGCATCTTAAAAATTTTCAAATTTATTTCTCCAAACCCTTAAACATTTTCGAAAATGTATATGAACATTCAGTTTTCCCCAAAAACATTTAAAATGTATCATTTTCTCTGCATATTCTCAGAATGTAGGAACTTCAAATAAATTTCAAGGAATTATTCCACCACCCCCCCAATGAAGATAGGCTGTTCCTAATACTGCCAAAAGGGAGAAAATAACACATTAAGAGATAATTTTGTGCTGTGTTATGTCATTTATTATTGAGTTATAGGAGGAACTTCAATTCTTTTTTGTTATATCTTTAACCATTTTTGGAAGCCAGTTTTTAAGAATGCCTGGCAAGAGAATTCCATTATCTAAATGGTAAATTCATGTTAAATACTATCTGCTTCCTGCACTTCATATGTAATTATATGCATGTTTGGTATAATGGGTGAGGTTTTTCATATTATTAACTTTAAAACATCTAAACTGAAACCTCTGAATTGTGAAACTGGTGTAATTCCATTATAGTATGTTCAGTCAGGAAGGCTTTGCACCAGTCTTGAAGAGGAGTCATAAGCAACATGAAGAAGGAACCAAGGTTTTGAAACAGCAACTAAATACTAGCTTATTCAAACTACTTTGAAGCACTAAAATGTGTGTGCGAAGTTGTATCTCTAAACAGGTATACCTTAGAGGGGAAGACTCACAGATAGCTAATAAGAGTTTAGATGGTACAAACACTACTGAAATACAACTCAATACATGCACATAAAATCCCCACATAATTGGATAGTAATATTTGGAGGTTATGCTGTCAGGATTTTCAGTGAGCATGGATGGACACATTACACCAATCAGAGGAAACTGGTAAGGAAGGATTACAGTAAGCTGTACCTTTTTATAAAATAGAAACTATAGCTATATACTGCTTTAAGAATGCCCGTTTAAAAGTTTTATATTCTGCCTGATCTATATTCTGGGTTGTTTTGTATTTACGTGCCTTTTTGGTTGCTGCTACAAGGACTACAGGACTATTTTTGAGAAACATCATTGTTTAAATAAAAAGTTAATCATGTTTGATCCAGATTTTTACTTATGATGTAATTAGATTTTGTAGCATGATCAACCATATTTTGTAGAATATTCTGCATCAGATAAGCATAGTCTGTTGCCTCCTTCAGTTCATAGTGACTGTCTCTGCACTGGCTTTCAAAACTTCACGTGCATTCAGATAAACCAGCTAAAGTTGTGTTGGGGCACTTTTGTGATTGTTGCTTGACTATTTGAAATAGTCAAATCATTATCTCTGCAATGTAGAGAAACCTTCATCTGATGTGAAAGAGTACTCCTATTTCACTGACGTTTATTTTTTCGTCTGTTAACTGTGAGTAAAAGCCTGTGCGAAGCCAACACTTTAGAAGAGCAAAATATGGGGAAGGGAGCTGATTCCCATTTTACAGACTGGAACCAAAGTGCAGAACAATCAACGTTCTCAAGACCCTCAAACATTGCGAGAAATGCAAATTAAAACTTATCACTATACTTTAAGCTTGTGAGCCATTTTTGGTTTGATAACTGAAACCTGAATATTCAAGTAAACTCAAGCTTCTGATGTATAATCTGGGAACAAATGAGGTACTTGGATTCCAATGCAGCGTAATAAATGGGTTTGGAGTTCAAGGTAAACCTGTGAAGGTAAGCAAATCACCCATTAGCATTGAAATACTAGGTTGCAGAATCTGTATTTACTTCTTGCATTTTGTTTTAGGTTGTCTGCACATGGCGGGAATTTTTTTGTTGCACTTTTGAGAACTAGCAACAATCTTTAGATACATGGGGTTTTTTGTTGGTTTTGGTTTTGGTTTTTGCTTTAAAATGAAGTGGTAACACCTGAATTGGCAGGAAGCAGAGTAGAATTTCTGGCAATTTCAAAGCTGTGACTAAGTGGTTCAGATGAAACAAAAGTTCAGGTATGTTGCTAAGAGATACTATAATCTGATTCATTTGGCGGAAACATATCCAGCATTAAAACATTGGTAAAACTGCCTTTGTCCATTTTTGTTGTTTACAAGTGTAGAGAAAAGAAGCGTTTAGATCACACTGAAGTGAACACCTTATGGTTGATGGCAGTTGGAAGTACTGTTGTAATGTGTGTTTTGCTGACAGGTTATATATGTGGGCTCTATGAGAAATTAAGATGCTTATGAGATGTAGCTGGTGGAGAGAGCGAGCCCTGGTCTGTTTAAGCATGTCTGGCGCTCTTCATTTTGGCTTTTTTAATAAATGTCTCTGACATGGCAAGCAGATGAAGGGAAGGATGGCTCTGGAGAAGAAAGTTGGTTGGGGTTAGGGAGACAGCAGGTGACTGTGGTTAAACTTTTGACATTAAAAAATCAGAAGCCTGTTAAGGTGCCTAAATTCTCAGTGCTCTAGGCTGATAAATATATGAACAAGCCTGTTTTAGTTGCTTTGTGGTTATGTTTGGATGAAGCGGGACTTTTTCATCCATTTCTTCAGATGTGGGAGCAAGGCTGGGGTCTTAGTAAATAAATGGAAAGCTATTCAGCGGGATGCTGTGAGGTGAATCAAACACGTAAGGGCCTTATCCCGAACGTCAAAGTTTCTATTGAAAATAAATATCTGGATTATTAATTTTAATTCAACTAATTTGTGTATTTTGCCCTGCCAAGTATTTGGAACAGAGTTTCAGCTAAGTGGAAGCATCAGGGTAATAAATAGTGGTCAAACATAAATGTTGATTTTTCTTTTTTTACTGAAGATTAGTATCTGCTAGTTGATAAGGAATGCATTTTAACTGTAATAAGGTGGCCATTTATTGAAATTGTCCTGATGAAAGCAGTTGTTTTCAGTATATGGGGACTGGGATGGACTGGAAAGAATTATACTTTGAAGGTATTTTGGCTTGAAGAAACATGCC